GCCGTGCAGAGGAGGCGGACGCACTTGCATGGCATCCGCAATCACGCCCCGCCGAATTAAATATTGTACTGGGTCCTGTGGTTGGGTTGTTGGTGTTATGTTGAGCTGGAAGCGGGAGAGCTGCAGCTCTGATTTCGAATGTACAGCAACCGTGTAGGGATTAATAAAAGCAGCAAAATGCCACTGGGTCTGCCGTGGTCGTTTACACATGTGTTTCCAGTTTTTAAAAGAGAAAAATTCCATAGGTTGGAGGGGTGGTAGAGATGTAATTCATTCAGAAACAGCAGTTAAACTTAACTATGGAGACACCATGCAATGCCTTTTTATACTACTTTTATACTTATTTTTTTGGCGAGTGTTTGGGTGGGTTTATGCAAGAATAACCTAACCCTATAACTTGCTAGTGTTATAGAAAGATCATAACTTGTGATATATGAGAAGTCATGTGTGTTCTTGAGACTTAAGCTAAGTAAAAGTCATTCTAACTTGAGTGAAACAAAAGGACAATTTATGCCCATGTAAATATACAGATAAATTACTATTTCATGGTTTGCCAATAGACTAAGGCAGCATGGAGGGAAATAAAATCTGGGTTTGCTAGAACATAAAATTTTTCCTGTCCAGTTGATAGAAAGATTAATAATTCACACATATAGGGGACACACTAAACTAGGCTGGACCATGTGAATGAGACACATAGTTGCAGGAAGCATCCAGTAGATCTACAGAGATAAGTTGAGAAAGTGCTTACATACATTTTTGATCCCAAAAGAAACAAAAGTAACCATTAAAAAGCCCTCTTATTGCATTATTGTATAAAAGGAGTACTGATATCCTTCTGTTTCAGCTGTTTCAAGTGTGCATGTAAAATAAATTCAATTAAAAAAAAAGACTAAAACCAAATTTATTCTTCAGTGGGGGAAGAAACTGCCTAATAAAGAGCTACTTTAATGTTATGTTCAACTTTGTGTAGTATTTTGGATGCCTCAGAAAGCAGCTATCCAGATGAGTGGATAGCTGCTTGTATAGTGAATTCAAAGAACCACAGATTTACAGGTTACAGAGGGTTTGTTAGTTTGCAGACTATTTACATACAGAAAAATAAGACTCTGCTTTTTTCTGCTTTTTTGGGCAATGACCAATGAACATATTATTATTAACTTTGTTTGAATATACTTTTACTTATTATCTATTTGTTTTCTGTGACGTTGTTCAGATTATCGTTTTAAAGTCACAACACCAAATTTTAAGTACATACATTGTAGCTATGTGAAATGGGGATTGCTTTGCTTGTATTATGGAAAATATGAGTTGCACCATGCACTTGCTGCAGTCAAGTACTTGTGTGGTGACCTCATTTAAACTCCCCCCCCCCACAATCATTTCTCACCTCTCAGAGAATTGCTCAATGTGCTGTGGCTTCTTCAACTGTAAGTAGTTTCTTATTATATCATATCAGATTAACAAAAAACATTTTTGGTCACTGATGTTTAAGGGTATCAGCCTCTGAAACAACTGTTCACAGTATTGATATAATTTGCTGTATAGTTTTACTTTCACACTTTCACTTTGACCAGAAATAGAATCAGAATACAGGTTTTTGTTGTTGCTGCTGTTTTGTTTTTAGAATCATGAGCAAGACTTTTAACAGTGATCAGAATATTTTCATGCTTTTAGCAATGTTGAAAGTTTTCTGATCACATTTGAAATTTTACCACACTGTAAAAGTATGATTGTTTTTTTTAAAACTCACACATTCTTTAATAACTGAAGATAACCAGAAAAACCCAACAGATCAAACATGCATTGATCTGTGCATTGCATTTAAAATAATTATTTGAAACCTTTTACCAAAATGTTGGGATGTAGATGCATAAAGTATTATTCTGTAACTTGTAAATCAGTAAAATCCTGATACAAGTACACAGCAAATCCAGCATGTCCAAATTAACACTGTCGGATTTGATTTCAACACTATTAAAGTGTCTATATGGGTCCACACCAGAGAGTGTTAATTTAACTCTTTTTGGAGAGTTGGTACGTTAACTCTGATTTAGTGTTAA